AGTGTAAAGGTTAGCGCTTTTTTCGATACGTTCTAGGGTTAGTAACATTTGTATTTTTTTTTAAATATATTAACTGGCATTTATGCGCGAAACGTTATGTATTCTATGTATATTGCGTTAAGCTCTTGCGCTATAATAAATAATCAGACTCGTGAATTCTTCAAAATGTAAACAAAACCGCGTTATCGCTAGACTGCACAGATCTCTATGTGAAATAAAAATCGTCAAAGATAATTGTGAGAAACGAGAATGTCTTATCTCTTCTAATAATCAATATTGAAAATGAGAGGTGTGAAATAATATCTCTAAATTCCGCGGATGTCATTGCTACTTTCAATGTCATTATGTTCGTCGATGACACATCGGCGCGCACGAAAATTTGCATTCGGTAAAAAGCGCCCGGAGGAAATGTTCCGCGAATCATTCGGAACGGTTCGAGAGGTGGCCGGCAAAAAATGAGGGGTTTTTCTGCCGCGGGAGCAATGAAATCAACGGCGATAGAGCCCGGATCCCCGGCCGGTCCCTCCCGAATGAAGATGCATCGGCCTCGGCGGGCTGCACCGATGCGTCGAGTGTCGGCACGCGATACCGAATATTCGAAATCAATACAGGTTACAGCAACCTGGCCGACATCACTGACGTCCGTGCACTAACACGAGCAGAAACTCGCGCTTCGCCCCGTCCCGTGCCATCCCATCGCTTCGCGCATCCCCATCCCTGTGGTCCCCATCCCCATCCCATGTACCTATCCCGTTCCACGTCGACGTAGCCAGCCGTGTACGTAATGCGGTTTAATATAGACCGATTGTATACGGCATCGGTTTCGGCGGAGAGACCGGCGCGGGGAGATTCTATCTCGCAGCGACAGCCCATGCCCGGTCGAAGGAAAACATCTGACAGGCCACATGCGAGTCGAGTGTCGTGAGACCAAGTGCACCGGAAGCTGGCTTGAACGCGGCTGGGTGGGCTTGTTTCGATCATGGATGTACCGTGTCTGTGTTAGGACCAGACTTTTTAGGATATGTATACGATATCGACTTCAAGGGAGAAAACTGTAGCTATTTAGGTGAACGGTTTTCATGGGGTATAAGATCGTCGTCGATGTTCTGATGTCTTCACGATTTTCCTTTTAATCTTGTAATTCTTTTTGTAACTGCGTGAAATCCATGGTCTAGTTAGGAATAGACCGCGGATTTTTATTCGAAATGATGATTTTGACGAGATGACAGTGACGTAAGGATCTTTGTAAATTACTTAAATGTCTTTACTGGTTCGTATTGGATTCAATCATTTTTGTCGTAAACGTATAAAATCTGCGGTCTAGCAATTCAGTGTACAACACTGATGAAAGTCAGCTTAGTTTTTAATAATTTTCTTAATAATTATTAATTAATTTTCTTAATAAATTTTCTGATGTCTTCACGATTTTCCTTTTAATCTTGTAATTGTTCTCGTCACTGCGTAAAATCCATGGTCTAGTTAGAAATATACCGCGGATTTTTATTCGAAATGACGATTTTAACGAGTTGACAGTGACGTAAGGATATTTGTAAATTATTTAAATGTCTTTACTGTTTCGTATTGGATTCAATCATTTTTGTCATAAACGTATAAAATCTCCCATAAGTCTAGCAATTCAATGTACAACACTAACGAAAGTCAGCTTAGTTTTCACATCGAACTGACGCAATGGACGAAAGTTGATAAGACGGAACGATAAATAATTAACTTTGTAGACTCGTTCACGATATCATTCATATTGTTCGAAACTATGTAACGATCTGTAAAATAATTTGTATCTTCGGTATTCGTGGAAACTGTGTCAAACGTATACAAAGGACGAAGATTAAACAAACAAAAAAGATAGTTATTTTCTCCATGGTTCTCACGATCTTATCTCGGGCGCTAAAGGGGTAAACAAGTTTATTCGCTTAACGCTCATCGCTGAATCTGCCAGCGGTTCTTTAGATATTCCTCGTGGTGCTCCGAGGTAAACATCTGCCATAACTTGAAAAAGATCCCAAAGACGCTGCCATTGTTCTAGAACTAGGTGTTTGGTCGTCTACGAAAGAACGTGTCGGCGGCATCTGGGTGAAAGCCCGCGTGGGTGCCAACTTTCGCCCCTCGAATATTCTTCCCTCACCTCCGTTGCATGAAAAGCACGAGAAAGCCGAGATGGATGCTCAGATTCTAGACCAGTTTAGACACTTGCTTCCTGGCATCCGTTAGGTCACGTCACACGAAATGTCAGATTTTAATCGTTTCAGTAATTATTTGTATTGGGTTGGCAACTAAGTAATCGCCGATTTGTTCGATGAAATAAAAAATTATTTTTTACTTGGAACGAAGTTTCATCTGTAATGTATTTTCCATTTTGTTCGATGACCTTTTGTCATGTTATTTCTGAGAATGTTATTTCTAAGCTAATGCTATTTGCCATGCTATTTCTAAGAATAACAATATTGTAAGAAACGTGGAAATTGCAAAAACTTTGCGAATTGGAATGCCATGTTCTATTCGGTGCTTCCCATTTTTCAAATCTGTCTCGTAATATAATAATACATTATAATAATAATACATTATAAAAAGTGTATTCTATTGGATTGGCAACTAAGTAATCGCCGATTTGTTCGATGAAATAAAAAATTTTTTTTTACTTGGAACGAAGTTCAATCTGTAATGTATTTTCCATTTTGTTCGATGACCTTTTGCCATCTCTCTGACAACTTGAAAATTCCACGCTCGTAGAAAGTCTGATCCTTTTCGGCCAAAAACTGAGTTAAGTGAGATTTTACAGCGTAATCGTCGTTAAAAGTTTTACCACGAAGGGAGTTGTTCAGGGATCGAAATAAGTGGTGATCCGATGGCGCGAGATCGGGACTATATGGTGGGTGTAACATCAATTCCCAACCAATATCCATCAATTTTTGCCGAGTGGACAAAGACGTGTGCGGCCTAGCATTGTCCTGCTGGAAAATGACACCTTTACGATTGACCAATTCTGGTCGCTTTTCCTTGACCGCTGCATTCAATTTGTCCAGTTGCTAACATTCACGGATAATAAAAAATAACATAATAATAATAATAATAATAATATTATAATATAACATTTACGGATATCATAAAAATGGGAGTGAGAGACATCTATAACTGAAATCGGCAATTACTTAGTTGCCAACCCAATATATTATCAAAACCTCCTCGTTGAGACTGAAGCTAATCCTTTTATTGGTTTCAATATTAACACTATGCCGTCCGGTGGCACCACGCTGGTGCCATGCAAAAACTATCTGTTGTATGCCGGTGGTACCACTTTGGTGCCATTTTAGAAAACTGAAATAACATTTGAACTATATTTCTTGGGTGTTAAAAAAGTCAGCAAGCTAACTATAGCATTGTGGTCGCTTTTCCTTGACCGCTGCATTCAATTTGTCCAGTTGCTAACATTCACGGATAATAAAAAATAACATAATAATAATAATAATAATAATTTTATAATATAACATTCACGGATATCATGAAAATGGGAGTGAGAGACATCTATAACCGAAATCGGCGATTACTTAGTTGCCAACCCAATAGAACAGCAATTCTTGGATAATCAATAAATTCAAAGATACAGGTTATTTATTAGGCCCTAATCAAAGGATTCGTACAAAGTTTGCTTAATTAATATTAATGCGAAACCGGGGCGCGAGAACAGCTCGAACATCTTCAATTAATCGCTGGTTCTGGTGGAAAATGACACCTTTACGATTGACCAATTCTGGTCGCTTTTCCTTTCAATTTGTCCAGTTGCTAACATTCGCGGATAATAGAGAATAACATAATAATAATAATAATAATTTTATAATATAACATTCACGGATGTCATAAAAATGGGAGTGAGAGACATCTATAACTGAAATCGGCAATTACTTAGTTGCCAACTCAACACATATCCTGTTTTCAGATCACGCATTTTTGTTGAAGGCAACGAACTATTGGTTTGTCCGTTTGAAACGTACCGCCTACACGATCAAACACTTTAAATATAGACTCGACGAAGTTGCGGGATCGAGATTGATCGGTTTGAATCGGTTCAAGGGTTTCATGCCAGATGTATCGATCGCTCTGTTGATCTTGATACAACTATGACGAGCGTCCTAATTTTCTAGTTACCCAGCTTCTTCCGGCATTGACGGATCGTGTTTAGAATAGTTCGCGCCTGACGTCACGGAGCCGATTATTTGGTTCGCTGTAATAGTTTATTTTTCGAACGGATAATGGTACACACGTCGTGGTTCGTTCGCGGAGATTTGTTAGGCTTTGTAATTTATTATGCTGGATTCAGGACCATTTGTTACTCCATATTTCTTTCTTTCTTTTCTCCTTCGTTTTGTCATTGCACTCTCAGCCATTTGCCTGCCACGAGAATATATACGTACTCCGTGATTTCTCCGCAGCAAAATGGAGATGTTGCATGATAAAACGTTTGTCGCAGACTTGCAGGACGTTCGGTGTATTTTTGAAACCTAAAAATCCTGCGATGGAAATGTTGCGCTACTTCGGATTCCATCGTAACGACGAAAAGGACCAACGATTTCGCTAGGGAAATCGAAATAAGACGACTACTAGAATAACAATTAGTGAGATTTGATTCTTCGGGATGATGAAGGACGAAGAACGGAAGCAGTAAGATTGCTACTTCAGCTTAGTTATTATTAGACTGCGGTGCTTTATGTTTTTATGTCAAGAATGAGTGGGTGAAATATCAAATTACAAGAACATAAGAAGAATTTAATAATACTGATGTAGTATTTTGAATCTGTTATATATACGAATATAAGCGTATAGCTGGATAGAGTGACATGTAGATTATAAAATTAC